ATCAATCCCATTCACAATAGCTACAAAAACAATCAAATACCTTGGAATAAACTTAACCAAGGACGTTAAAGATCTCTACGATGAAAATTACAAAACCTTAAAGAAAGAAATAGAAGAGGATACCAAGAAATGGAAAAATCTTCCATGCTCATGGATCGGAAGAATTGATATCATCAAAATGTCCATTCTCCTAAAAGCAATTTATACATTCAATGCAATACCAATCAAGATACTGAAGACCTTCTTCTCAGATCTGGAAAAAATGGTGCTGAAATTCATATGGAGACACAGGAGACCTCGAATAGCTAAAGCAATCTTGTACAACAAAAACAAAGCCGGAGGCATCACAATACCAGATTTCAGGACATACTACAGGGCAGTTGTTATCAAAACAGCATGGTACTGGTACAGAAACAGATGGATAGACCAATGGAACAGAATTGAAACACCAGAAATCAATCCAAACATCTACAGTCAACTCATATTTGATCAAGGATCCAAAACCAATCCCTGGAGTAAGGACAGTCTATTCAATAAATGGTGCTGGGAAAATTGGATTTCCATGTGCAGAATCATGAAGCAAGACCCCTACCTTTCACCTTACACAAAAATTCACTCAACATGGATTAAAGACATAAATCTATGACCTGACGCCATCAAATTATTAGAGAGCATTGGATAAACCCTGCAAGATATAGGTACTGGCAAAGACTTCATGGAAAAGACCCCAGAAGCACAGGCAGTGAAAGCCAAAATTAACATTTGGCATGGCATCAAATTGAGAAGTTTCTGCACTTCAAAAGAAACAGTCAGGAGAGTGAAGAGGCAACTGACAGAATGGGAAAAAATATTTGTAAACTATGCAACAGATAAAGGGTTGATAACCAGAATCTACAAAGAGATCAAGAAACTCCACAACAACAAAACAAACAACCCACTTAAGAGATGGGCCAAGGACCTCAATAGACATTTTTCAAAAGAGGAAATCCAAATGGCCAACAGACACATGAAAAACTGTTCAAGATCACTAGCAATCAGAGAAATGCAAATCAAAACCACAATGAGGTTTCACCTCACCCTGGTCAGAATGGCTCACATTCAGAAATCTACCAACAATAGATGCTGGAGAGGATGTGGGGAAAAAGGGACACTAACCCACTGTTCGTGGGAATGCAAACTGGTTAAGCCACTATGGAAATCAGTCTGGAGATTCCTCAGAAACCTGAATATAACCCTACCATTTAACCCAGCCATCCCACTCCTTGGAATTTACCCAAAGGAAATGAAATTGGCAAACAAACAAGCTGTCTGCACATTAATGTTTATTGCAGCTCAATTCACAATAGCTAAGACCAGGAACCAACCCAAATGCCCATCAACAGTAGACTGGATAAAGAAATTATGGGACATGTACTCTATAGAATACTATACAGCAGTCAAAAACAATGAAACCCGGTCATTTGCAACAAGATGGAGGAGTCTGGAAAACATCATGCCGAGTGAACTAAGCCAGTCCCAAAGGGACAAATATCATATGTTCTCCCTGATTGGCGACAACTTACTGAGCACCAAAGGGGAAACCTGTTGAAGTGAAATGGACACTATGAGAAACAGTGACTTGATCAGCTCTTGTCCTGACTGTTGATGTACAATGTAATACTTTATCCAATTTAGTATTTTTTTGTTCTAGTACTATTGGTTGAACTCTGTAATTAACAAACAATTATTCTTAGGTGTTTAAATTTTAACTGACAAGTGATCCCTGTTAGGAATGTTGAAAACATTATGCTGAGTGAAATAAGCCAATCCCAAAGGGACAAATATCATATGTTCTCCCTGATCAGTGACAACTAACTGAGCACCAAAAAGGAAACCTGTTAAAGTGAAATGAACACTATGAGAAACGGTGACTTGATCAGCCCTTGCCCTGATTGTTGATGAACAATTTAATACGTTATCCCTCTTAGTATATTTTATGTTTCTTCTACTTAATACTTTTGGTTGAAGACTGTAATCAATACACAGTTATTCTTAAGTGTTCAAACTTAACTGAGGCTGGTGCCGCGGCTCACTAGGCTAATCCTCCGCCTTGCGGCGCCAGCAAACTGGGTTCTAGTCCTGGTCGGGGTGCTGGATTCTGTCCCGGTTGCCCCTCTTCCAGGCCAGCTCTCTGCTATGGCCAGGGAGTGCAGTGCAGGATGGCCCAAGTCCTTGGCCCTGCACCCCAAGGGAGACCAGGAGAAGCACCTGGCTCCTGCCATCGGATCCGGGTGGTGTGCCGGCTGCAGCACGCTGGTTGCGGCAGCCATTGGAGGGTGAACCAACAGCAAAGGAAGACCTTTTTCTCTGTCTCTCTCTCTCACTGTCCACGCTGCCTGTTTAAAAAAAAAAAAAAAGAAACTTAACTGAAAAGTGATTGCTGGTACCTAAGAGTGGGAATAAGGAGGGAAGTGATGTGCAATTTGGGACATGCTCAAGCTGACTTGCCCCAAATGGTAGAGTTAGAAACATGCCAGGGGATTCCAATTCAATCCCATCAAGGTGGCATGTATTAATGCCATCTCACTAGTTCAAGTGATCAATTTCAGTTCACAATTGATCATAATGATAGGACTAAGAGCCAAAGGGATCACATAAACAAGACTAGTGTCTGCAAATATTAACTGATAGAATAAAAAAGGAGAGAATGATCCAACATGGGAAGTGAGATACATAGCAGACTCATAGAATGGCAGATGTCCTAAACAGCACTCTGGCCTCAGAATCAGCCCTTAAGTTATGTGGATCCAGCTGAAAAGCCCTTGGGAGTATTTCAGGCATGGAAAGTCAAGACACTCTGGCAAAAAAAAAAAAAAAAAAAAAAAAAAAAAAACCTAAATGAAAGATCTCTGCGAGTGAGATCCTAGTAGAAAAAACAGGTCATCAAAGAAGGAGGTACCTTTCTCTGAAGGGAGGAGAGAACTTCCATTCTGACTACGACCTTGCCTAAATATGATCAGAGTCGGTGAACTCAAAAGGCTTCCATAGCTAAGGCAACTCATGACAAGAGCCTAGGGTGATTACTGATGCCATAAACAGGAGTGTCAATTTGTTAAGTCAACAGCAGGAATCACTGTGCACTTACTCCTCATGTAGGATCTCTGTCCTTAATGTGCTGTACATTGTGATTTAATGCTATAACTAGTACTCAAACAGTATATTTCACTTTGTGTTTCTTTGTGGGTACAAACTGTTGAAATCTTTACTTAATATATGCTAAACTGATCTTCTGTATATAAAGAGAATTGAAAATGAATCTTGATGTGAATGAAAGGGAAGAGGGAGCGGGAAAGGGGAGGGTTGCAGGTGGGAGGGAAGTTATGGGGGGGAAGCCATTGTAATCCATAAGTTGTACTTTGGAAATTTATATTCATTAAATAAAAGTTAAATAAAAAACAAAAAAAAACAACTTTTCACTTTCAGCCTACGTGTGCTCTTAAGGCTAAACTGAGTCTCTTACATGCATAAAGTTGCATATTGCTATTTTATTCATTGAGCCACTCTATTCTTTTTTTTTTTTTTTTTTTTTTTTACAGGCAGAGTGGACAGTGAGAGAGAGAGACAGAGAGAAAAGTCTTTCTTTGCCGTTGGTTCACCCTCCAATGGCTGCCATGGCCGGCAGGCTGAGGCCAGCGCACTGCGCTGATCCGATGGCAGGAGCCAGGTACTTTTCCTGGTCTCCCATGGGGTGCAGGACCCAAGCACTTGGGCCATCCTCCACTGCACGACCTGGCCACAGCAGAGAGCTGGCCTGGAAGAGGGGCAACCGGGACAGAATCCGGCGCCCTGACCTGGGCTAGAACCCGGTGTGCTGGCGCCGCAAGGTGGATGATTAGCCTAGTGAGCCACGGTGCAGGCCCGCTCAATTCTTATGGAAAAACTTAATCCATTTACATTTAAAATAATTATCGATATACAAGAATTTACTATTGCTATTTGTTCGTTGTTTTCTGTTTTTTGTTACTCTGTTCCTCTGCTTTTATGATTTGATAATATTTTAAATAAAAATTTCATCTGATTCAATATTTTCTGCTTTCCTAGCTTACCAATAATATTTCTTCCAAAATAATTCAGTGGCTGCATTCGAGATTGTAACATACACTCACAATTCATCTAAGTCCATTTTCGAATAACTAAAATTTTACAGGTAGTTTACATATCTTACGATAAAATATTCCCAGTTTCTCCCTCCTACTCTTTATCACATTGCTTTCATTCATTTCACTTATGCATATACTGTAATTATCCAATTAGTCATCATTTTCCTATTCTTAATTCAATGAAGAATTTAAAAGTAAAACTTTTATTTGACTGTCATTTATTCCTTTAATTTCTAATCTTTACATTTAATTTCTAATTAATTAAATTTAATTTCTGATCATACAAATATATGTGATATACTGGGTCGGCGCCATGGCTCACTAGGCTAATCCTCTACCTTCGGTGCTGGCACCCTGGGTTCTAGTCCCTGTTGGGGCACTGGTTCTGTCCCGGTTGCTCTTCTTCCAGTCCAGCTCTCTGCTGTGGATGGGAAGGCAGTTGAGGATGGCCCAAGTGCTTGGGCCCTGCACCCGCATGGGAGACCAGGAGGAAGCACCCGGCTCCTGGCTTCAGATCAGCACTGTGTGCCGGCCACAGCAGCCATTTGGGGGGGTGAAGCAACGGAAGGAAGACCTTTCTCTCTGTCTCTCTCACTGTCTAACTCTTCCTGTCACAAACAAAGAAACAAATATATGTGATACAGCACACCCCTCTGACATTTGGTTCTCATGCTTCCACATTAGAGAATGAGTCATCCAATTAGTAGAAAAGCCAATAGAAGGGAACTCAGAGCATGTAACTTTCATTTTGTGGTGTTTTCTGTGTACCCATGACCTTATTGAGGACTTCCATCAAAGGGAGATATGGTGGCTTAAAGAGGTTGAGTTACTGAATGGGGTCTACACAACAAGTCTTCTTACCTTGATCTCATATTCTTCCATGCAGAGAAATACCAGATGAAGTAGTAAAAAAGTTTGTAACTCATGGACCATCTATTAAGTGTAGTGTCCAAAAGGAGGTGGCAGCAAGTAACCCTTCTTGATCGCGATGGAAGCTTATCAGTGCTTCATAGTGGGTGGGAGGTTTGCTGACAGCAATGAGAGGGAAATTAATCTTGCTTATTCTACTTACTCAGCTTTAGGTACTCTTCAATTGTCACAGGATAATTTACTGAGCTATTGATTACACTTTCTACCCTGAAGGAACTCCAAAAGGAAAGAATGTAACTTTTCACTCTTGTCTTCTGAGGAGCTCTGGGTTCTTGGTCTCAGGAGCTATTAACAGTTTCCATGTTTCCTTTCCAAAACCAGCGTCAACACATCTTTTGTACAGGACTATCCAAATTCTCATGTAGGAGTGGCATTCATCTAGGTGCTCCTATGAAGAGAAGATGAGGTTGAAGACAATGAGGGAAGGGATTGAAAGTTGGAGAGCTGCCTAACAGTAGCATTGTAAAGACGGGTTCTAAGTGGATGACTCCCGTGTGGAAGTTGCCTAGGATGCGGTAGTGGTTCCTAAGGAATGAAATGATATTTGCTGAGATGACGAATGTTCAAGCTCCATTGTCTCGGGAGCTGCAGCAAAACACTGCATTGGCCAACCTAGTATCTTTGTTTGACACTGGACTAAGCTAAGTATACAAAAGGTCCCAGGAGTCACTCATATTGGATATTTTCTCACCTGTTAAAAATTCAGGCTTTGAGTCAGATTTCATATAGAGAAATTAAGTACTGTGTGCCATAGTTTAGTGTTGTGGAACAAATTTGTGATTTCTGTATATTGTTCCATTTAATACTTAGAACAGTATGAAAGGAGGAGGAGGAGGGAGAACAGTATGAAATCATTAACTTTAAGGCTGGCGCCACAGCTAACTAGGCTAATCCCCTGCCTGTGGTGCCAGTACTACGGGTTCTAGTTCCTGTTGGGGCGCCGGTTCTGTCCTGGTTGCTCCTTTTCCAGTCCAGCTCTCTGCTGTGGCCCAGGAGGGCAGTGGAGGATGGCCCAAGTGCTTGGGCCCTGCACCCACACGGGAGACCCGGAGGAAGCTCCTGGCTTTGGATCTGCCTTTTCTTTCTTTCTCTCTCTCCCTCTCTCTCCTTATGTAATAGATAGACAGTGAGAGAGAGAGGGCCACAGCAGAGAGCTGGACTGGAAGAGAAGCAACCTGGACTAGAACCCAGCATACACATGGGATGCAGGCACCGCAGGCGGAGGATTAACCAAGTGAGCCATGGCGCCGGCCCCAAACCCTCTGCCTTCTCTATACTTTCTTTCTAAAAGGAGGTGATTCCTCTTTATGAAATCACAGAATTAAGTATGGCGGTGGCAACATTAATTCACTATCTACAAGGGTAGCTCTGTGGCGCAATGGGTTAACGCCCTGGCCTGAAGCACCGGCATCCCATGTGGTCCCTGGTTCTAGTCCCGGCTGCACCTCTTCCAATTCAGCTCTCTGCTATGGCCTGGAAAAGCAGTAGAAGATGGTCCAAGTCTTTGGGCCCCTGCACTGGCGTGGGAGACCTGGAGGAAGCTCCTGGCTCCTGACTTTGGATTGCTGCAGCTCTAGCCATTGTGGACATCTGGAGAGTGAACCATTGGATGGAAGACCTCTCTCTCTCTGCCTCTCCGTCTCTGAGGAACTCTGACTTTCAAATAAATATTTTTTAAAAAATTAATTTTGTACAACTAACGGTCGGTTCCATTACTGCTGTTAGGGCATCTGTTCATTCCTCCAGTGATTACCTTGTGTTAGGAAGTCTTCCAAGCATTTGGAACACAAAGAAGAAAACAGACTCAATTTTGGTGAAGCTTATATTTTTTTAAGATTTATTTATTTGAAAGTCAGAGTTACTCAGAAAGAGGAAGAGACAGAGACTGAGACAGAGGGAGAGAGAGAGACAGAGACCGACCTTCCATTCACTGGTTCACTTTTCAAATGGCTGCAGCAGCCGGGGCTGGGCCAGGCCGAAGCCTGGAGTCAGGAGCTTCCTGCAGTTCTCCCACCATGGGTGCAGGGGCCCAAGCACTTGGAGCATCCTCTGCTGCCTTCCCAGGCACATTAGCAGGGAGCTGGAGCGTATGGGATGCTAGATTCACAGGTGGCGGCTTAACTGGCTTTGACACATTGCTGGTCCATATTTTTTTCTTAATGCCTTTGCTTTTGTACTCAAAACAGTTTCACTTTCCTAAACTACTTTTTAAAAAAATATTTATTTATTTGTTTATTTGAAAGGCAGAGTTACAGAGAGACAGAGGCAAAGGCAGAGAGAGAGAGAGAGGTAGGTTTTCCATCTGCTGGTTCACTTCCCAGGTGGCCACAAGGCCAGAGCTGAGCCTACTGGAACCCAGGAGCCAGGAGCTTCTTCCAGATCTCGCATGTGGGTGCAGGGGTCCAGCACTTGGGCCATCTACAATTGCTTTCCCAGGCCACAGCAGAGAGCTGCATTGCACTTTCCTAAACTTCTTCATCCTCCTCATCCATTGAACAAATGTGCTAGACCAGCACAGAGGGAAAAGCAACCAACAGATGCTAACTTTTCAAATAATAATTTAAAAATACTACAGAGCACTTGACTCCACTCCCTCCTGTAGGCCTGCCTTCTTACTATACTGAAAGAGGTTTCCCAGGGACACCTGCTTTGGTCATCCAAGGTGGGATCTGTCCTTCCATTCCAGTTAAAAATACTACCAACAGAAGAAGTTTATTAAAATCCATTCTCTGTTGTTTCTTGTATTTGTTAAATGCCCTACAGTATTTCCAGTCACAGGGTAAGAAATAAAAAATTAGAATATTTAGCTTAATTCCTTTGCAGACTGAGATCGTCTTTCCTTAGCATTGCCCTGCTACCAGCATTTGGTGATTAGCATGTAGCGGGGCACAGGAACATCTAGTGAAATGAAGGCGCAAGGGAAGGATTCCGAGGGTCCCCTGGCGCGGCTTCCTCTGGGGCCAGGACTGGGTGGGGTCGTGAGGACGGGACACCTATGGGTGGGCCCACGAGTAGAGAGGCTGGGCCGCATGCAGGGGTGAGGCTTGGAAGGAGGTGCTGTTTGCTTCACTCCCTATTGCAGTGACGGCCCCAGTCTCACCTCAGGCTTCTGCATTCTCTCTGTCGTGTCCGGAAGACCAGAGTTGAGATTTGCCTAAAACATGGAGGTCTGGAAAAGACTTCCGGACGCCCGGGGCACGGGCACTCACCTCATCCTTGCTCTGTCTTCCATTTCAATCCCAGAATGCAGCGCCCGCAGGGCTGGGCTCTCCTGAATAACCGTCATCCCCACCTGCCCGGACGCGGGCTGGCGGCTCCTGAAATCTCGCGATGTGCCAACTCCCGCGATGCAGCCGCCTCAGAAACCGCGCAGTCCTGGGCGCTGGAGGCACCTTTGGAGTTCCAGAGATAAAAAGCAGGCAGTAGCAGTCCGGCCAGCTCTTTAAGGCGTCACTTGGCCTTGGCGGTCCGGCCTTTGACCTACCTAACCAAAGCCTGGGATGTCAGTCTGTGGGGGAGACCCCAGGCGCTGCGGACAGGATGGGCCCCAAGAACTGGGATGGACGACACAGCAGGAGTCCTGTCCGCTCTGCCGCTCAGCTCCAGGAATGGGCTGTCACCACATGGGCTCTGCCAGGCCCCAGAGGGCCCAGTGCCCTGAGCGCCTGCGGGCCCGCAGGACGTGTCCGTCGTCCGAGCGCCAGTCCGAAGGCTGGGAGGAGGCTGGGAGTCGTCCTCCCAGGAGCAGGACTGCGGGGCTCGCCCGCCGCTGCTTGTGTTCAGAGGAGCCAGCAGGTGCTTTCGTCCACTGCGGGGGGACCCGGCAGAGTCTGGTAGGGTGCTGCTCCGGTCTGCAGCTTCCGCTCTCACTCCTGTACTGGCGTCTGTGGCAGGGTGTCACGGCTTGCGGAAGTCTGTTTATAAGGAATGGTTTACCTGGGAACTCCGAGGCCTAGGGTCAGTGGGCAGAGACAAGGCCCACTCCTGAGGGTGGAAGCAGAACCTTTGGTCGTGACGTTCAGGAGCCAGGACGGCAAGACCGAGGTTGGCCTGTTCCACAGACAGGCATTTCACAGGGCACAGAATCTCAGACAACTACTTCCAGTTATGTGGGTACTGAGATAGTCACACATTTAGTGAGGGCTGGTGCTCCTTGTTAGGTAGGAGTTGTTAACTGTGACTTCTAAAGAAGTGGAAGGGAATCCTTTCTGTTATTTATTTTAATTTTTATGAAAATATTATTGATCAAATTCACAGGGTCTGGAAAATAGAATTACTGAGAATAACTGTTCTTAACATTTTGATGGCTCCTCCCAGAATTTGCTTTTTTAAATTTTTTTGAAGATTTATGAATTTATTTGAGAGGACAAGTTAGAGAGAGAGAGAGTTCTTCAGTCCTCTAGTTCACTCTCCAAATGGCAGGGCCAGAGCTGAGCTGATCCAAAGCCAGGAGCTTCTTCCAGGTCTCCCACACGTGGGTAGGGACCCACACACTTAGGCCATCTTCCACTGCTTTCCCAGGCCATCAGCAGGGAGCTCGATCGGAAGTGGAGCAGCTGGGACTTGAACTGGCACCCATTTGGCATGCCGGCAGTACCGGTGGATGCTTAACCTACTATGCCACCACATCAGCTCCTTGCTAATTTTTTTTATGCTTGTTTACCATGCTCTTAAAAAGTACTTTCATGAATAATATTTTTATAATAGCCTGTATTAAGTGATAGAATATTCTTCCTTTTGTTGGTATTTGATTAGTTTCTAATTTTTAAAAACAATATTTTGCTTACCATATTTGTTAATAATTTTCCTTGCTTATAACCTTATCCCATTCCATACAGGACAAAGATTCCCTAAATGTTTCTAAGGTTCTGCCTGTTGCCTACTACTTTTTCTTCAGCTTTCTTAGATAAGCTATAGACACATGTAGTTAGCTATTTCAGTAGTGAATTCTCTGAATTTTAAGCCACTGAAACTAACGGCTTGTTCATCCTCACTGTAAACTCTTCCAATTTTAAGCAGTTCCTCTTTCTCCTATCTACTCTTTTATATTCCCATAATCAAGTCATAATACTGGGGCATGTAAGCAACAAATGAAATTTCATTGTACACAACTTCTATTTTCCCCGAAGCTAGTCAGCTACTATATGGATACGACAGAAAAATATGCTGGGCAGAGAAATCTAGAATGCTCACGCTGCACCACACAACCTCCACAGGGACTTTAAGATCTTTCAGGTCAAGAACTTAATTTTGTGGGGGCCGGTGCCATGGCATTAACAGGTAAAGCTGCCGCCTGCAGTGCTGGCATCCCATGTGGCGCCGGTTCAAGTCCTGGCTGCTTTACTTCCAACCTAGCTCTTCGTTCTGGCCTGGGAAAGCAATAGAAGATGGTCCAAGTCCTGTGTCCCTGTGCCTATGTGGCAGACCCAGAAGAAGCTCCAGGCTCCTGGCTTCGGATCAGCCCAGCTCTAGCTGGTGTGGCTCTTTGGGGAGTGAACCAGCAGATGGATGACTTTTCTCTTCCTCTCTGTCTCTGCCTCTCTGTAACTCTGCCTTTCAAATAAATAAAAGCTTTAAAAAAACTCTTAATTTTGAAATGAATGTTTTATTGTGTTAGTAGTGTGTGTTCACATTCTGAGTCAAAATTTAAATATTCCCAATAAAGTTAAATACCTCATTTCAAAACAAAAATATCCCATTCCACATCAAATTTTATATTTACTTATTTGCTATTTTTATCTATATAGTCTCTTGGTTTCCTTTTGATTCAATATAACCTATTGCTGTCAATATTTATTTTGATGTCACAGATTTAGCTACTTACTTCAATCTGACTTCTGTATTTGATATATTGCTATCATGTGTCATTATATGACCAAAAAAAGATGTTTCACTGATTTTTTTTCTTGGCTTTTTTGTTTCAGTGATTTCTTTCATTTTTACTTATTTACTTCCTTTTTCTTTGATACTCTTTTTTAAAAATTGCTTAGGGTAGAATGCCAAGGTTTCTGGTTTGAGAACTTTCTGTTTTGATATAGACACCTAGAGCTAGAAATTTATCTCTACTGCTATAGCTGTATCTCATAAATTTCAATGTTTTGTCTTTGCTTTTCATTCCACTCAAAATTCCACCCAATTTTCCTTTTGATTTCCTCATTAATTCTAAGGTTATATTTAATTTCTAAATATTTAGGTATTTTCACATTTTTTGGTATTGATTATAATACTTCCTTTATTGTAGGAGGGTATACTCATGTAATTCAAAGTTTTAACTTTTTTGTGATTTTTTTCTTAATTTTGGCCATCCAATTTTACCTTCTTCTATTGATTTGTGAAGTATACTATGGATGTTAATTATGCCAAATAGTTTGCTAGTGTATTCAAGCCTTCTGTGTCCTTACTGACCCTTCTTGAAATGAAAAACTATGAAATGATTCTCATTTTTGTATGTAACATTATTTTTTTCCAAAGTTTACTTTTTGTATAATTAATATAAATGGTTAACAGAGATAATCTAGCTTTCTTTTTTATTTCTGCTCCTAAGACTGGATAATTTTAATTAGCAATCCTTCAAGTTCACTAATGTTTTTTCTTTTACTTGCACAAATGTGCAATTAAACCTCTCTAGTGAGTTTTTATTTCAGTTGTTGTTCATTCCAGCTTCAACATTTCTATATGGTTCCTTTTCATAACTTCTTTTGATTGATACTCTTTATTTGTTGATATCAATTTCCTGATTTCCTTTAGTTCTTTGTTTTTCCATCTGTGTGAACATATTTCTAACAATTGACTTATTGTCTTCTAGTAATTCCAGTATCTGAACCTCCTAGGCAGAATCTGTTAATTTCTTCTTTGTTATGAATTAATCACACTTTCTTGTCTCTTGGCATATCTTGTATTTCTTTCATTTGAATAGTGGATATTTTGAGGTAACTTTGGAAATCAGATTCTTCAAGTTTCTCTAGGATTAGTTGTTGTTATAACTGTGAGTTGTAGGTGTGGTTTCTTTAGTGAATTTTTCAAACTATTTTAAAATAGCTGTTCTGAGACCTTCAAAACTAGCATTGTGCTGGGGTGTGGAATGGGGCAAGGGTGAGCTAGAAGGTCTTCATGCTCTGTGCAGTGCTTCAGTGCTTTTGCTCCTGGTTATGTGTTTGCTTGGTGGCTGTATATCTTTGCTAGCTTCCAGAGGGCCAATGTGTTTTAATCCGATGGATTTTCCATATTTCTGGGGAGGGATAGCTCCCCAGAATTCTCATTAGCCATTTTGCTGCCATCTCTTCCCTGTGCCAACTTTTTTTTTTATTACAATGATTTATGTTTTTCTATTATTTTAAATGTGTTGCCTTACATATTTTTTAAAAAGATTTTATCTATTTATTTGAGAAGTAGAGTTATAGGGAGAGACAGAGAGAAAGGTCTTGCCTCCATTGGTTCATTCCCCAAATGGCTGCAAGGGTCGGAGCTGTGCCGATCTGAAGCCAGGAGCCAGGTGCTTCTTCCTGGCCTCCCACACGGGTGCAGGGGCCCAAGCACTTGGGCCATCCTCCACTGCTTTCCCAGGCCATAGCAGAGAGCTGGATTGGAAGAGGAGCAGCTGGGACTAGAACTGGTACCCATATGGGTTGCCAGTGCTGAGGCCGAGAATTAACCTACTGCGCCATGGCTCTGGCCCCTGCCTTATATTTAAAATAGGTTTTTAGGAGTAAGAATTGTGGCACAGTGAACTGGCTGTCAAATGCCATTTGGCATCCTATATTGGAGCAATGATTTGAGACCTTGCGGTTCTGCTTCTTACGCAGCTCCCTGTTAATGTGCCTGGGATGGCAGAAGAGTATGGCCCAAGTGCTTTTCCTCCTGCTTCCCAAGTGGGAAACTCGATGGAGTTTTGAGCACCTGGCTTTGGCCAGGACTAGCCCTGGCCATTGTGGCCATTTGGGGAGTGAACCAGTGGATTGAAGATTGCTCCTTTTCTGTCACTTGACCTTTCAAATAAATAAATAAATCTTAAAAAAAAATAAAGTGGGTTTCTTGTAGGCAGTATATAATTTCCTTTTAACTGAATCTGACAGTTTCAAGGTGTTCAGTCCATGTGATAGGCACATTAAGGGCTTCCTAAAGATGTCCAAGCCTCATTTCTGGAACCTGTGATTATGTTGCTTTACACTGCGTAAGTAACTTAAATTTTCAGGTGGGATTCAGGTGGTTTATCAGGTAACCTTAAAATGTGGGAGATTTTGTGGCATTGTGGTATAGCCGGCAAAGCTGTAGCAGCTTGCAATGCTGACGTTCCACATGGGCCTCATGCAAGTCTCTGATGCAGCTCTCTGCTAGTAACCTGGGAAAATCAGGACAAGATGGTCCAAGTGTTTGGGCCCTTGCCACTCCTATTGGAAACCAGAAAGAAACTCCTGGCTCCTGGCTTGGGCCTGACTCCACACTGGCTGTTGCAGCCATCT